TTAAGTACGTAATTTAGCGGATAGGCCGGGTCATCCTAAACCCCTAACCCCAAACCCTAAACCCTAAACCCACGACCCCTAACCCCTAAACCCCTAAACCCTAAACCCACGACCCGAAACCTTCAAACTCTCAAGGCTTCCGATGCTTGTACGCCCTCTGCTCGAAACCGATCCGTTCGGAACCTTCGACGATGAATATCAACTGGTATGAAGTGGGAGACAAAGGCGGCCTCATGGGTTTTCGGGTGTAGGGTTTGGGGCTTAGGCTTTTGGATTTTAGGTTGCCGGGTTCGAGGGTTCAGAGATCAAGTTTGCAGGTTCAGAGTTTGTTGTTTAGGGTCTCGGGGATCAGTCGACTTTTTGTGGAGTTCTTTTGGATCCCTTAAACGAACGTTTGCAATGACCCTAAACCCTACACCCATAACTCGAAACCCTAAGCCCTAAAGCCTACTAAACCTAAACTCTTAGGATCTAAACTCTAAACCTTACACACTACACCTTGAACCCTAAACCGTCAGATTCGCGTTGAGAGTGCAGTGTCCACTTAAGTAGTTATCTAAATGGGTTGTGTTTACAAGGGTGCCGTACCTATACTGGGCACCTAAAACTCTAAACGCCCTAAACTCTAAACTGCTGACCACTTGCATGGGCGCTCGAGGGTCCCGCCAGGGGGTCTGGGGCCCCAGGCTGGCAGATCCCAGGGACCCGGGCCTGCCAAAGATCCGGAGCAAAGAGCTTGGCATTCCAGTTGAAGGGACCCACACCTCCTGCACATAGGGCGGGCGACCTCTAGGGTTTGGGGTTTAGGGTTTAGGGTTTAGGGTTTGGCGACTATTTCCAGCAGGAGAGGTGTTTGCACTTCGAGCAATTCTGACAGGGTGCGAAGGGCGGGTTGTTTGTTGGAAACCCTTGCTTCTCGTCGAGCGGCCAGCACAGGCCGCGAAGACCCACAATCCGACACCCATCCATCTCAGCTATGCTACATGCTGCCGCAGGCTAAGGGGGTGCGCCTCTATTCCTAAAGTAAAATGCGTGACCATCGCGCGCACTCTGTATACACACCCTAAGCTCTAAACCCTAAGCCCCAATTTACTGAACTACCCATTGGCTTCCCTGGAAGCGAGGCTACCACATCGTGGACTGGACGGCCGGCTGTGGTGGCCCGGCAGCTGTTGTTGAGGTTTAGGGTTTAGGGTTTAGGGTTCAGGGGCTAGGAGTTAGGGCTTAGGGTAAGGTTAGCACAGGGGCCTTAATAATTAGATAGGGGTTTTGGGGGGTTCCTTATTATACTTAGTGCAATAGACCCCGAAACCCCATGCTAACTATTCAAGGCCCCAAAATTGGAGGGGTTTGATTGGAGCGCTTGTGAGGAATTTTTAAAGGCTTACGTCAAGTTGGGTTTAGGGCAGTTTAGGGTTTTAGGGTTTAGGGGTTTAGTTTACAAGGTCCCGATAGGGTTTTGTGACAATCTATCAGAGTCTAATTAATCGGGTATTTTAAGGGTTCAGGGTTTACGAATCCCGAGAACCCTCATACGCGGACGAAGAGTTGCACCCTAAGCCGGATTTTTGTGGCATCCCTGAACTCCAATCCCAGCCCCAAGCCCTAAACCCTCTGGCTCTGAACCCATTTTCGAAGTCTCACGGTATGGGCCACGATAAAAAAGGAGCTAAACAACGAAATTCTTAACCCGCGGCCCTAAAACTTAAACCCTAAAGTTAACGGTTTAGGGTTTAGGGTTCAGGTTTAGGGGTTCGGGGTTTAATCCAGGACATTTTCAGGTGGGTAGTTACCATTACAGGAGCCTTATAGAAGGTCTATATTCTGACGGAAGCCTTCGAGAAGCCCTATATACCCGAAACTCCCCACCTGTAGTTTCCTTTAAGAAAGCCCTAAACCCCAAACCCTAAACCCTAAACCCTAAACCGTTAACTTTAGGGTTTCCTTTACTTCAACCCCAAAGCCAGGTGAAAGTCGACATGATGCTCACCTCTTGGCTTTCCGCAACGATGAGCTGGTCAGTGAGAAGTGGGATTCCACGATCGTCAAAGACAAGATGAAGGAATGCTCGGGGCATGATGAGTATAGAAGCCGCAACGACTAGACTTGGGTTTAGGGTTTAGGGTTTAGGGTTTAGGGTTTAGGGTTTAGGGTTTAGGAGGGTTTAGGGTTTAGGGTTTAGGGTAAGAAAGTATAAATTTGTAGGGACTACAATGGGAGATTGCTACAAATCCTTCCGACTTCTATACCAGGAGCTTGCTTGATTCCTAAACTGCATAACTTCAGGGTTGTAGACACCCTGACTCTGACTCCCTTCTGTCATTTTGTGGTTTCCTCAGTTTCCCTAAACCCTAAACCCTAAACCCTAAACCCTATACCCTCAGTTTCCTCTATTGAAGCTGAATAGGGGGGAGCATGGCGCCCTCACTATCTTGGATAAGTCCGCGCTTTGGATGTGTCGCATGCGGTTTCCGGTGCCCCTGCTTCAGAACCTACAAGACAACATGAATGTTTAATGTAGGGACCTAAATAATTACCCCCATTATTTTGGGGGCTCCTCATTATAATTATATTCTAAGGGGCTCCAAAACCCTATTCTAATTGTTACGGCCCCTATATTACCTCGAACCTCCTTGTTCGGGTCCACCCCTAAACCTGAATTGAATCCTAAACTCTAAACCCAAAATCCTAAACCCAAAGCCCTTAGGGTTTAGGGTTTAGCCTTCAGTTCTATGGGCCATCTGCGAAAAACTGTGGGTTGTGTAGGGTCCAAGCACACCAAAAATAGTATGGCACCCTTATAAGATGGATATGAAACAGGGACCCTAATTTAGAGAACTACCCATGTCAGAAGCTCCACACCTAGATACCAACTGCTGGGGTGCAGTTTCACAGCTCCTAGCCCTCGGTTCAGGGTTAAGGGGTGTAGGGCTTAGGGTGTAGGGTTCAGGGTTTAGGGATTAGTAGGACGCGTAGGTTTTATGCAGTTGCATTGCTTGTTTGTGAATCCTTCCGAGGGGTTATGCTAGGTGTATTCTCCTGGACTTGCTAAACCTTAGACCGTAGCCACATCACTTGGAGGTTCATGGGTAGTTACAAGTGGGGTTTTAACTAGGGTAACTATACAAATAGCCCATATTATAGGGGACGTATAACCCCACGTATAACTACCCATGAACCTCCAAGCAGGACATGACAAAAGATATCCTCTCACAGCATCCTACGCTCGGTGCTGCCATCGAGAATGCCGACGTCTGCTTCGACTGGGGCGGCTTGTCCCAGCTTAGATCAAAACAACGGACTAGACTTTGACTGCCTTTCTTGTCCTGTGCAGACACCGATTCAAACACATGTGTATGTGCCCTGCAGCGAGAGCCCTGAACCGTAAACCAATCTTTTAAACCCTAAACCCTAAACCCTAAACCCTAAACCCTAAACCCTAAACCCTAAACCCTAAACCCTAAACCCTAAACCCTAAACCCTAAACACAGAGCAAGAGAATCCTCAACCCTAAGCCCCCAACGCTATGCGCCTTTCTCGAGCAGATACAGCCACCCCAGTCCAGCTCAGCCTAGCCCCGCCCTGCAAAGCCGGAGTTCCTTCTTCTGCTTTCCTCGTGAGGGCAGTTCTCTAAAGTAGGCTCCCCCCTTTGACGTCCCCAAATATTACGGCACCCTTATGAGACGGACCCCAAAAGCGACCCCGATTCAGAGAACTACCATTGTAGATCTTTGCAAGGAAATTCAAAACAACACCAGAACATCCCTAAGCTAAACCCGAAGCCCCTAAACCGCGAAACCCCTGAACGCCTGATCCTAGACCCGAAACCCTGAACCCCAAACCCCTACACCCCTACAGCCCTATAATCCCTAAACCCCTTTGATTTAAGGAACCCTTTTAAAGGAACCCCTAAACCTTGAGAGCCCCCAAATACTGGGAAGACAAGAAATCGGCTACTGGAACTCATGACCAGGACCCTGGCACTGATAAAGATGGGCCAGTTCAAGTTAAAGTTTAGGGTTTAGGGTTTAGGGTTCAGGGTTTAGGGTTCAGGGTTCAGGGTTCAGGGTTTAGGGTTTAGGACTTAGGGTGGTAGTCGTAGCCAGTCTGAAACCCTATACCCTCAACCGGTAGTGGAGATCAGCCCCTTACCTGGAGAGTCGGAGGATTCAGTAATCAAGGGTCTAAAGGAGGGACCCTTAAAGGGACCCTTGGGGATATATAGGGGCTTTATGAGACTATATAAGGGGTATACAAGGGGTATACAAGGGGTATACAAGGGTTATATCATGAATAACTGGGTCCTTGTCGGATACAATTTTACATTTTTGTTATAGTAAGACCCAGCAAGGATTAAAACTGATCATTTGTAATCTAGCCCGAACTGGGAACCGGATAAAGTTCAAGGAAGCAAAGGTTTAGGGTATAGGGGACTCTGAATAAGGTTTAAGGAAGTAAGGGTTTAGGGTTTAGAGGAGTAGGTGTTTAGGGTTTAAGGGTTTCTGAATAAGGTTTAATGGAGTAGGGGTTTAGGGTTAAGGGGGGATTGAGGTTTGAAGGTTTTGGTTCAGCGAGGGTTGTGCAAATCAGGGCTTTTTGACGGGTTCTAAATGGGCCTAGGGATCGTGCTAAGTAGTACATGCACGAGCCCCAAAACAGAGGCCACAACAAGAACCCCCCAACAGCGACAGCCTCGTTGAAGCAACACAAGTCTCACGTGCCGCATGGTATACACATGTTTCTTTTGAGATGCAGAGCTATCCGTAACAACGGGCAAAGGGGACGGTTTTCACGCTCTGAAGGGAAGATCCAGGAATTCCTTTCAAGCCCGAATGAAAGGCTCCAAGCTGAAACCAGAAAAGCGGTGACAAGTGTCAGTGCCAAGACAAAAACCTAAACCCCCGCAAGCCCGACTCCATAAACCAAAACCCCTTTGTCTATTTTTGTACGTGTCAAGCAACTCGCAAGAAACTCTACCTTAACCCACCAAAACCCACTTTTTTGTAGGCTCTTATTATAAACCCTAATATGGGATTTATAGGGAACCTACAAAAAAGTAGGTTCTGGTGGGTTGAGGTAGAATACCATGTAAGCTTCCCCAAAGCCGATAGCACCCGGAGAGAAGCTCCAAACACCCCCAACACCCAAAGCCCTAAACCCTACCTTAACCTACCAGAACCTACTTTTTTGTAGGGCCCCTATAAATCCCATATTAGGGTTTATAACAAGAACCTACAAATGGTGGGTTAAGGTAAAGCCGATGGTGCACATGATCGTGAGCAAGGGTTTAAAGAATGATGCGGTGTCTTATTCAGGGTGCAAGAAGATGCAAAGGTCACGGAGTCGGACCCCCTTGCAAGTGACGTCTGGTAGCCTTAGCCATGGCACAATGCCTTCTGCAAGTGCAGATTCCAGATGTTAGAACCTAGCAAACGGGAAAGGGCACTCAAAACAAAAACTTAAATCCCTAAACCCCACAACCCTAAACTAAAACCATGAAACCCCTAAGCCCTAAAACCCCAAAATCCAAAGCCCCTTGCGAGGCCAAACCTGCAGAACCCGCGCCGAAGGTCGAGCCGAAGGTTGGAAACCCGCTTTAAAAACGGGATTTGACTCTTTGGGGTTTAGGGTTTAGGGGTTTTAGGGTTCAGGGAGTTTTGGGGGATCTTAATATAGAAGCCTTTTAAGAACTACCTATACTATTTTGGGGGGCTCCTTGTTATAACTATAGTATAACATACCCCAAAGCCCTATTCTAATTATCAAGGGCCCTACATTAATCATATTGGGGGTTTACGGGATCTTCATCTTTAGGGATCTTGAGGGATCTGAATCATTGCGGGTTTAAGGGATCTTCGGGTTTACCCATAGGCCCCATAGTAGTTCCTTTTCGGGATTACCTTTTAGGATTCTAAATATGTATGGGTAGAGGGTTTAGGCTTAATCTTAGCCGTTGCGGGTTTAGGGTTTAGTGTTTAGGCTCATCTTCCGGGGTTTTGCAGCGTTTTTTTCACATCGTTCCTTTAAGCGGTTCCTAAAGGGTTATAAGGGCTACTATAAGGGTTTAGGGTCCCTAAAGGGTTATAAGGGCTACTACAAGGGTTTAGGGTTTGTTTGATATTTAGAAGGGTTAGTATACATGTTCCAACATGCGGGCCTTGAGTTAGAATAGCGTTTCGTAAGGTCTTCGGTGGTCTTAGTGGAGGCCTTCAGAATTACAACAGGCTGTTGGTGTATATCAGAGTATGCGTACATGGCTAATTATGCCTGGATCTTCAGACCTCTACCCGAAGCCTAAACCCTAATGCCTTATAAACCCCTCTAATATTGCAGCTTCAAGGCCCTTGGGCCATGAACATAACCTCTGCTTTGTGGTCCCTTTCTGTGAATTAAACCCTGAACTAACTTCCTCAGCCTTACAGACAAGAGCCTCTAATTGAATATAACTTCAGAGGGCGCCCTCAAACTCCATAGGCCCATACAGCCTCTACAAGTTCTCTAGTAAACAAACCCTAGCCCCCCTAAGCTCCCTAAAGCGTCAATGCCCCGCACCATAAAGCCAAACACCCCTAAACCCGTCAAACTCACTAAAGCAGGCTAGAGCCCCTAACCATACACATTTCTTAAACTCCCAACCACCGGACCATCACGCGCCCTAAAGCCCACACTGCCTGGATGTCTTATTGTCATGTCTTTTACCATCCCCCTGTCAACGACCTTATGCATGGTAGTCGTTGTGGGGCTGCAGGGGGGGGGTTGTAGGAATGTTGTAGGAAGTAATGTGAAAAACTGACGAATATCTTCCCGTCGGCTTTGGACGGATGATATTTGGGAATAAGAGGTCTGCGTTGGTAACGGCCCCCTCTCAGTAAGAGCTGGATAGTAGTTCGAACATGTGCGTGTGTACGTGTTTTTTTTCTCTCTCTCTCTCTATAATATGTATATAGATATATGTATATACATACGTACATATATATATATATATATATAAACATGTATATATACTGATTGGTAAGGCCCTTACGGAATAGTACCCGTATTATAGACGGTCAATGTTTGGGGGCAACTCGCAAGAGGCTGCCGAAAGCAGCAATGGCGTGAATGGCAACGGCGAAGTGCATAGCAAGCTGCCCATGTGGGAGGTGGTTCCTTGGCAGTCCAATTCGCAGAAACTTCGCTGGTTCAGAGGTACTTACCTGAAGGTCACAATTGAAACTGAAGCCCGAAGCGGTTGTATGTGTAGGGTTATGTGTAGGGTGTTTCGGAATCGAGGCTTACAGATTGCAAGGCAAACAGCCATCTCAACAGCACAGCATGCCGTAGCATCGCAGCGAGTGGCAGTCTTCAATCCCTACCTGTAAAGCCCTACAGCCAAGAGTTTAATGCTTCAGCAGATCGCACAAAACTACAGCTGCTACAGCCTGTTTCGCCTCAATGAAGATATGCAGTTATACTATCCAGTATGTCGCTTATGTACAGAAGGCCTTTTTAAACTACAGTATGCTTCTGTTCGATGCACCTAAGGCCCCATGCGCTACCCTCAGGGATAGTAGGCCATACGGCTGCCTTTACCTACACAATGGGTTTCTGGGTTACGAGATGGGCGATGATGGTTGTAGTGATACCCAGGCGATTGCGCAAGTCCTGATGCAAAAACCAGCCTATTATTGGAGCCCTACGGAATTCTCAGATTATTCCCTAAACCCTAAACCCTAGACCCTGAACTGAACCCAACGGAGTACTGTAGGTTAGCATCCTGGAGCGTATATCAGCCCATGCAACTTTGAGCTTTCACAGAGAGCTAAGGTTGGCGGCACCCCGGCGGCAGCAACGATCAGAGATCCCAAATATTTACATAGGGTTTCAGACTCATGAGTACTGCCATGTGGGCTGCATGTGGGTAGTAAGGGCAGCAGTCGGGTCCCTTGTGAAAAAAAAGGGGTCTGAGTAGTGTTCCGGTGTTTCTTGCCTACCTTAAGAACCCAAAACCCACTTTTTGTAGGTTCAAAAGAAACCCTAATATGGGATTTGTAGGGACCCTACAAAAAAAGTAGGTCTTGGGTTCTTAAGGTACACTCGAAACCCTCCCCAGAAAGGATTCAGGCCGCCAGCCGAAATTCTGCCCAGGTTTGGGAGTTCAGTCTTTTAGGGTTTAGGGTTTAGGGCTTTCGAAGAGGAGCCGTACGACTCCGCCAGAGCCTGATCATTTCGGCGCTTGGGGGGGGCAGTTTTGGGGCTTGCTCGAAATGGCAGCCGTAAGCTTGTTCA